TTCCTGCCATCTTAGTTTTTTTCCTTTCTTCCTCTAAGAGTAATTTCTTGACATTTCAAGAGGCTGTTACCTGTCTTTTGACATCCAGTCTTCACTCAGTTTTCCAGTTGGCGTAACAAAGTTGTGCACATCACTCTGTCTCAAAGAAGAAACTCTGGCGAGGAAGAGACGGATAACACAGGAACTGAATGCTGGGGAGCCTTTCCCAGATGGTAGACAGATGCAAATACTTGCAAATGTTGGTTAATGCTAACTTACTGACAGCTTTTCCCATAGGCTCTTGTTGAACTCCTGTGGGCTAGATAGGCTCTTAACCTAGCCCAGCATAGCATCTATACTGCTCCCATATAAAGCAGGTACTGACTGATACCAATGTTGCATTACTGGTCTTTTTGCTATACTTGATCTGCAAATTAAAATCAAGGCAAATAGACTGCCCTTGTTTCTGTGCCAATTAGGGGGTTTTGTTGGTTTGGGTTTTTCTACTTTTGAAGTTTTTCTATTCAGCCCCAAGTTCCTGTGGATGATTAATTGTTCAGTGTAGAGATTGGGTCTCCCTGTGCAATGTTATCTGCCTTGAATTTTACATTCAGAATTTCTGTGTCCTGTGCATGATTGTTTGTTGCTGTGCTGCACTACATACTAATGAGCTGTATGTTGTTAGGGCCTGTGCTAAAAAGTGTTATTTTGCTGTCCTTCATGCAGAATTCCCTTTCAAAAAGCAACAGGTTAACATCACCCAGAATGCTCCACTTTTCAGAGCTTTGCAAGAAAAAGGGCCACAGCAGAAGCAATTTGCCACTTCAATATTACTGTTTATTTTATTTATAAAAAGGGGTAATTACAATATCAATTTAATTATAACGCATTTTTAGGAGAGTTTATAACTAACTGGAGTTAATGGTCCTTAGCTTTGTCCTGCACTATCAACTCTCCCAGCTGGTCATTATTCCCCAGGCAGTGCCCTGTGCGTGAAGCCTTAGTTTGTAAATCATGTTCAGATCTTACACTATAAATGTTCATGACACTCACAGCCATATCCTTCACTTCAAAAAGAGTGTGTGTATATAAATGCATGCTTTTTAAAATATTTTCCATACTGTAGTTTGAGGCTAAAGGAGAATATTTTCTCAGCCAGAAGTCACAACACTGGATTTTTTATTCATTTATTTTTACTTGGCTCTTTTGGCAGTCTCTAACCAGTAGACAGTTCTTTCAACAGTGGTTATAACCACAAAACAGAGGCCAAACATGCTACTACAGTGTGGATGCAGCATTGTTAAAATCTCAGTTACCCAAGCATCTCCTAAGGTTAGTTCGCTCCTGTTTCAGCAGAGTTGGACAACTATTGCCATTATGTAGGAGCACTTGTAGCTTTCAATCCTTCCTATGCTCTGGGGGTAAACTGAGCCAAATTACACTAATTTCTACAGAGATTAATCCTCAACCCTGGATGTTAGTTTAGTTCTGAATACAGCTACTATTTTGTAGTGCCTGTAGGGAGGTCTTAGATTTCCTGTGAGAACTTTTGCTTTGTTAGGCTGGAAAAACACAGATAGCAAGACATGCACAGCTAAACTGGCAAGAATAAATTGCTGTAAAAAATTAATTAATTTTTAGTTCCAAGTTCAGATCCTACACAAGGAAGTTAATGTCATTTCTCTGATAATACTGGATTGACGACAGAGAATCTGGACAAGAACATAGAATTTAGTAGTGACCAAAATATATGTCTAAGTAACTAAGTAGCTCAAAATCATGGCTCTCAGATTGTTTACTCCCCGAGAATTAAATTTCTGAAAGAATAAAAATTCCTCTTTCAGTGTCTCTGTGGAGTAGACAAGAAATGGCTTAGCTTGTGAACCCATTCTCAAAGAGCGGATTTTGGACCCTCTGGAACGTAGCGGTTGCCTTACTTTTCATTACTAAAGATAAGCAAGTTGTGTCTCACCCTAAATCTAAACATGTAGCTCCGAGACTAACTTTAAAGAAAGAGCCCAGTGTCTACAGCCATTGCCTGCCTCAGTCATTTGAAAATCAGGTCCCCAATATTAAGAACTTTGTAAAATGTCTGGTCTGTTCAATTTTTACTTTTAGACCTTGTGTTTCTAAAAGCAGGGAGGGATTTGATGGGGGTTAGGATATAGACTATGATAGTATTGCCTTTTCTTAAAATTTGAAGAGCGATTGTCTTCCAGGAGACAGGGGACTGGAGGTACAGGAAGGTCCCACAGTTGGGGCTGTTCAGAAAACCACAAAGCGGTGCAGGAGTTGTGATAAAGTGATAAGAGCTGCAAGTGCTGAGGTTTTCTCAGCGCCGAGGTAAGGAGAAGCCAGTCCCTCAGCCGTGATTGAAGGTTGCTGGATAATGACAGAAGAGGTTTTGTTACTCTTGTTGCTTGTAAATAGAGTTTTAGAACCTGCTTAAAATGCAGAGAAACCTGGAGCTGAATAAACAGAAGTCCAGTGTGGAGCAGGAGAGGAAATGGTGGGGAATATAAAATAATGTAAGCATTTATCTAGCTGAAAGCCAGGCCTTTAAACAAATAACCACTTTACCCCAATTATAAAATCACTGAAAATATTCAGCATCAAAAACTCTTCAGCTTTGGAAGACGGTCTCCCACAGGAAGTGCTCATTGCCTAAATTTAGATCAAAGCTGGAACTATTTAGTACAAGAACACAGATTCTTGTGCTAAATTCTTCCATCCTCCTGTGTCCTTCCCCCCCGCCTTCTTCCTCCCATATGTAAAAATTAGTCGTGTTCTTGTGTTACCTATTTTGCAGGTTTATTTAAAACTTCTCCTCCCCAAGGAATGTTGTATTTTTAAGTAATTAGTCACTGGAGTTTGCTGCTTCTCTGGAAACTGCAGCAGAGCTGCAGTGGGGTGGCCTCTGCAAGGGGACCGGGGTGTCGGGAGGCAGCAGAGCCATTATGCTTTCTCCTTTTACTTTTGGTGTGAGTTTCTGAGCAGGAAATGCTTTGAAGTGCACCACTGTTCTAAAAATAGCAGTCTTCTAGGTAGTGTGTTTAAACATACACTTGGGCAGAGAGCAGCAACTGACAGGAAGCCTTTCTCAAATGGTAGAGAGTATTTCCAGTACCGCTGTACCTTTTTCCCTGCCTTGGTGGGATGGATGATGGTTATCAAGCCCTGTTAAGCTGATTGCTTTCTAGTTAAGGCAGCTGTGAGGGAGAGGGTGAAAGAGAGACCTGCTGGGGAGGCTCAGAGGAGCTTTTCCTTCAGCAGCAACAGTAGTAGGACTTTTGCTATCAAGCACTGTGTGTGCTCATATCATTCTCCACTACTAAAAAGGGAAGGCAGTGGAAACACAAGTTCTGAGTTGCTACAGATTAGTTTTACAGGGCTCCCTCAGCCCTATGTCTGCATTTCCCTGCTGGCCCACCAGCTACTGTGGAGCTGCTATGGTGGGACCTCATCTCGCTCTCTCCTTCCCTGTGCTCCACTGCTTGTGCTGTCTCTCAGAAAGCCCCGGCTGTGCATCTGGCTGCAGCCAGCACACACTGCTGCTGGTTTGGAGCAGCCTGTGTTAGCGGTCAGCAGATGGTCAGTTGTGACAAGGGCCGGCTAAAAGCTCAGGGGAAGGAGAGTAAAAGTGTAGGGTTATGTCAGAAGTTCATCGTGCCCGGGCAATATCAGATATTGCCTTGCTAAAGAAACATTTTGTTTAGCCATATTGTTGAGCACTGCTAAACTCGATTATTACTTTGGTAAATGCAGATGAAGAAAACAAGATGTAGAAATTCGAAGTAGCTTATTCTCTGAGAAAGCAGTTGGCATACTGTGGAATAAAATCCTGATCTCCATAAGTGTATTCTCCTCATTTTTAGCTGTTAGACAATATACACAGTCCGTTTGTCTGATAAGGACTTTGCAATGCCACAGTCTCCATGAGTGCTGTTCCAGAAATCACCTTAAGCATGTATCTTTTTGTCCTACAGCTCAGAAACTGTTCTGGTGCTCCTCACATACTTTATCAGCTCTGCTGTCCTCTTGCTTTATGTGGATAACCGGTATTTTCCCAATATTCAAATACTCTATTTTCGTATGCCCCTCATCATCCCAAACCCTATTTCTTCATGTTCAGAATCCATTAAATTAGTGAAGGAGGTTGGTTCCTTCTTGAAATTCTATCAAAACCTTAGAAAAGGGATTCAATTTTCTGAATGTCTTTCAATTACAGTTGTGTTTCCGGAAGTTAGTAGTAGATTAGTCTGATAATATAATGGAATTTCTAGGTGATTGTATTTTTATTGCAGTTACCAGAGAGAAAAAGACTATATTGATTCCAATTCTGAATTACTTTTTTGTTCTTTTTTTGGCCAGTTTAGAGACTATTTATGGTCAAATATTTTGGCCATGCTACAGTGTTAGGTAATGAGCTAACTTGAGGTTTATATGAGACAGGTATAGTGTCAGGTTGTGTCCCCACCAAAAAACATCCTGTTCTAAGGAAAATGTCCCAAGTGCCTCTGTCACACATGGTCATAAAGAAAATGTCTATGTGTATGAAGTTCAGAATACAGGGTTTGACCATGATGGAAAAGAGATCTCCAAGGAGTTTAGGATCTTATCCAGTCCTTTACAATTTATGTAAACTAGTGTTTGACACAGCAACTTTTGTAAACCAAACTTCATGTTGATGTGTAACCGCCTTTCAGAAGAGCTGAAAGGATTCTGTAAGCAACTAACACTCCAATCTCCTTTTCTCTACTTGACAGAGATAAGCACTTCGAAAGTAGGTACTTTTCAAATGTAAAAATATTTCTAAGCACAATTTGTCTTAGTTTTTCTGGCACTTGGTGTCCAAGTTCTACGGACATTGTTGTAATTGCTTTGCTTAGAGATAGTGAAAATATGTGAACAAGAACTTCCTTGTGATGCTCAGCACTTTATCAGGCTTTTTAAATTCATGGCAAGTGTTTGTTTTACAGGGAGTTTAGAGTGTGCCTTCTATTTACATACAGACCATTAACAAAATACATATAGAATATAAATAAATTTAAAATCCCATTAAACTCACCAAGTAAATATTTTGGTGCTAGTTTTTGCACATACAGTGAGTGCTGTTTGAAGGTGGGTTTGGAAAGACAGTCTGACATTATAGTGTGGTGTTAATTCTAAATCTGTCTTGGAGCTTTTGGAGCAATTGAGCACCCTCAAAAAAATAAAGGTGAAATATTTGATACTGGTTATCAAATATTGGTATGTTAAGCAAACATACCAATGGTTTGTTTATGTTAAGCAAAAAAGCTGAAGGTTATGTATTTGTGTTATAACACATCTGTTGTGTTTGGCCTTTTGTTGCCACTTCCTGAGAGAAATTAAAAGCATCTTAGGGAGTGCAGTTTTCTGACACATTTGGGTCAATACGTGCTTCTCTGGGTTTGTTTTGAGTTTGTTTTGGGGTTTTTTTGCTGGATTGGGTTGGATTTTTTTATATCTATATGTTTAAGAAAAGAATTGGAGTAGCTAGAATGGTAAAAATAAAAAAGACCCAAAGTCCTGCACTAAATCAACCAACCAAAAAAAAAAAATAAAAAACCCCTCCAACATGTAAAACTTCCCTTCAGTCTTGTCTCAGATAGGTTTAATGAAGGCTGTGTCTCTTAATTCCCCCAAAGAGTACTGAATCATGCTTCTATAATTTATGATGCTCTACATCAGTCTCCTCTGTTGGCTCTTGCAGTCTTCTTCTACCAGATATCCCAATGCTCAAATTGCAGCTCCTACAAACACTGCTCATAACTGTTTCTGCAAGCACCTTTTTGAATCTGCTTATCACCTGCCTGCACAATGATTTAGGCTTCTTATCATCACATTTGATTTGTCCTGGCTCTACCTTTTCGGTTGGTGTGCACTGTCCACCCAACTGCTTGTAAGTGCCTGGAAGGCAGCGAGACAGCAGGGAGATTTGTCAAGAGCAGGTAATGTCAGACCAACCTTATTTCCTTTCACAAGAGCATAGCAGGATTTTTGGACTAAGAGGAGCAGCGTGTGCCATGTGTCTTGGTTTGAGTAAGGCTCTTCAGCACTCTTATGTATGCATGGCATTCTCAGAAGCAGATCAGAGATGTATGGTCAAGACAAAACTGCTGTGAGTGAGTAGGAAGCTGTTTGGAAATCCTTACACAGAAAGTAGTTATTTGAAGATTCCCTGTCAGAATGAAGGTGCTGCGGGAGCTCGTGCAGCATCTAGAGCTGCTTGGTGTTTGAATGGAGCGTATGCTTGGTAAGGCTGTGTGTGACATGTGAATGTCTGTGGATACGCTGGAAGACAGAATTCAGATTCAGCAGCAAACAGGAGATACGGAGGGAAAATCTTAGGAGAACATTCAGGATGAACAAATTATTGATTCTAATTAGTCAAGAACAATGTCACAAATTTAAAAAAAAATGGGATGACTGGCTAGACAGGGCATTTTCAGAGCTGTGTCTAGGGATCATAGTGAGCACAAGATGAGTGAGAGCCAATAACATCATGTAATTTAAAATATCACAGACTTTTCTGGAAGATGGCATCAGAGTGTAGTGTGTACAGGGTGAATTTTCTGGTTTACTCAGCAGTTCCAAGGCTTCAGCTTAAACCCTGTTCTGGACACAGCATTTCAGCAAAAGTGTAGATCAACTGAAGACAGTCCACAGGAGCAATGAGAGTAACAAGAGGTCAAGAAAACAGGTTACATACTGAAGAAAATTAAACAAGTTGAGATTGTTTATTAACTTCAGCTTAAAACCTGAAAAGGCACATGTTTTCAAATAGAGAAAAGGTCAGGAAAAGAAAGGGGAACACAATTTCTTCTCCGTGTACAAGACACGATTGGAAAGAAGGGTCTAAGTTTCAGTGAGGGAGATTTTGCATTGACACTGGGGAAGAAAAGCTCAAATAGTAAGGATAACAGAGCGCTGAAACCAATATCCTAGGGAAGCTGTGGATTTCCTGTTACTGGACATCTTACCAAGAGACTGTATGGACTTCTGTAGGGAATGGTATACACTGATTTTCCCTTGAGGCCTTGTATTTCTTCCAGTCCTCTGATTCTGTGATTTCCTACCATTTTCCCAGTAACACCAGCCTCCAGATCACCCCACATGCTGCCTTTTAACAGAGTAAACTCGTTTTGCACCATATATTCCCATCTGTAAGACTAGGAAGTGATGTGGCAGGAGTAGAGAGTTTATCTGCACCCAACCATCCAAAAAAGGGTATAGGTAGAGGTGTAACCTCAAGGCATCTTAGCTACCTTTGAATAAAGTAGCTGGGCTTTCCAGGAGCAGGTTAGCTATGGCAGCAGGAGTTCAGGAGAGACAAATGTGCAGTGCTTCTTAGCTAGGCTGTGAGAGTCTTGGTTGACAGTTTAAAGCCATCTCAGGTATTTCTACATTATCCTGTGATCTTCAGCGTAAGCTTGCTCTCAGTAAATACCAAGTTCACAATGTGGCAGTAGGACAAAAAAGAACAGGAAGAACTGCATTTCAGTTGTGTGCCTGTTTGGGGTGTTATTTCTCAGTTCCCCATCCTTCACAGCTGGCTGCTCTCTCTCTCTGCCTTCTTCGTCATTGCAGATTTCCTAATGAAGGTGCTGATTTTGAGTAGGTTTTTTGTTATAAATACTGTTGTGAAATGTTTCCTGTGCAACTTGGTGGTAACTGAGACTGGATTGCCTTATGGTAATCATTACCCATAACGAGTTTTACCCTATTTAAAGGCTTAGGGAATATACTTCTAATAATTTCCGAATTTTGGTCAGAAAAATATTTACAGTCTGAGGTTTTACAGGCAGAGAAGCTAACCAAAAAAAAAAAAAAATACTGGTGAAAATAAAAACATTTTTAAGAAAAACATGTGGGTCGGTATTTTTAATGTAGGATGAACTTATTTTTTTTCCCACCCTTATTTCATGAAAAGTTTCTACTGAGTGGAATGTAACTAGCCTTCTCTTCTTTTTTTTCCCTTTTTTTCTTTTTTTTTTTTTTTTTCTAATTGGTGAGAAGTTCTTTTCAGTGATTTGCCAAGTTGTGAGCAAAATAAATTCCTACATCCAGTAACTGGTTGATAACGTTTAATTTATAAAACCTCACTGAAATGTGTATGTCATGCCAGGTAACTTAGGTGTTGAGATTTTGAATGTAATGAAGAAAATGGCATGTGGGGAATTACTTCAGCCATGAAGCAACTTTTCCATCATATGCTTTTAATCAAGTCATAAAGAGACTAGAAATATGACTGTGCTGAAAGGAATATTGGTTATACCTACATAAATCCCCATATTCATCACTGCTTTTTCTCTTCCCCTGCCAAATTATCCCTGCTGTCTGCACCCATCACAAAGTACACAGGGAGAATCTCCTGTTTGCCCGAGGTATGGATTGTGTGGATTCGTACGTCCCCATGCTGGGGTCTGGGAGGGGTGCCGGTGACTGGGCTCCCCAAATGCAAGGCAGACAAGCCCTGGGAAGCCTGCACGGTTCTCTTTCCACAACTTTGTGAGCTTCCTCCACAAGGGGCTTCTTGCAGGAAGCATCTGTAGCGGGTGTGAGGGGTGTGGGGCCGCCCGGCTCAGCACCAGCAGCAGGTGAGCAGCGGTGCGGACTGTGGATTTCTGGTCTTCTATTGCAGCCAGGCAGTGAGTTGGATAACTTGGAGGAGATCCTGGATGACCTGCAGAACAGCCAGTTACCGCAGCTGTTCGCAGACGGCCGCCCGGGCGCGCCCGCGGGCTCGGTGGACAAGCAAGCCATCATCAATGACCTCATGCAGCTCACCAGTGACAGCAGCCCCGGCGCGGCGGCGGCCACCCAGAAACCAGCAATGCCGGGGGGGGTGGCCCTGGGTCAGCCGGGGAGGAGCCGGGCAGCTCCTGGTCCCCCTCGGGTCTTGCGTGATGACACAGCGCCATCTGCGGTCGTCCCGGTTCCGAAGACAGGTGGAAGTTGTGTCCCTGCCCTCTCAGGAAGTTTGAGGGGTACCCTCGGCAGAAAAGAAGGGCCCCCTGCTTCGGCAGGGAGAGCTCGGGCGTTTTGTTGCGGTGCAGGTCGCTCCTTTCCTGCAGCCCTTTCGGTGAAAGGGATGAGAGAGGCTTTTCGAAGCATGAAGGAAAGGAGTCTTCTGAAACCACAAGATTAATAGAAAGGCATATGATTAAGAGGAATGCCCATTTAATTTGAAATGGTGGCTTTTAATTGAGTCACTTCCAGCTGATGGTGTTTCTTAGCTTTATTAATTAACTTACAAATCAGTGTTGAAATCTTGGTCTACCATTGTAGAATAATGGACAGAGAGCAAGACAGGAGTCTTAACAGATACAAATGTTGAAGGAAATAGCAAAAATGCCACTGCTTCATTATTTTTTCTTCTTTTGGCTAGGATGGCAGCATCTGTTTATTTCCTTAAATGTACACTGGTGGGCTTTTTATAGAACAATAGAACATTAAGCTTAGATAATATTTTTAGCCATTCTGGTCTTATTAAAATAATGCCATGCCACTTTCAAATTAACTAATTATTAACACATTATTTACAAATGTTTAAATAAATATTAATATTAGTAATATTCAAGTTTAAATTCATATAAAAACCACTACAGATCCTTAAATTGTTTGTTGTTAATGCTGCTCAGAGAAGGGTGCTTGGGTTTAATGTACTCGTTTTTGTAACTAAGGGGGTCCTTAGGTGCAGCAGCACATAAGTGAGGAGGAAATCCCTGGATCTGAAATCTTTAGCATACTCTTTCTGAAACAAAGTCAGCTGCTTCCTTCCACTGCAGCTTTCCAGCTTTAACCTGGCTTTAAATCTGCTTTCAAAGCAGTACAGTAGCAGTATGATCATGAATGAGAGTGTGTTGGTGGTTAGCAGCAGTTCTGTAAAAGCAGCATCCTGTTTCCCATGTAAAGTAAAGCCCTAAAACTTTTTCCCCCTGCTCAGTCTGGTGCCTGATTCCTCTAGGGAACTTCTGCCTTCTTTTCTGTAGAAGAGCCTACAGAAAACAGGTGCACAGAAGTAGTGAGTGACTTCTCATATGCGCACAGAAAAGCAACGTAGAATGAATGTAAAATCATACACAATTCCAAAAGACATTTGGGATTTTTAATTATCTTTTTTTCTGAAGTAATAAGCAGCTTTTATTCCATAGGTTTTACATTAAAACGCTGAAAGTATTTTAATCTGCTTTAAAAATACATGTGAAAGCTGCTAGATTTGCTAAATTTGCTAGAGTTTGTTGCTTGTGGGACAGGGAGCCTTCTTCAGTCCTGTCCTGACCAAGAGCAGAGTATGTGATCTGAGCACCATCACATCTCACCAGCTGTGGTGTTACTTTGTGCTGCATTTACAGCTTTCTTTTTTTGTAAGATCACTGGGTGCTGGCAAAACAACCCATATCATAACTTATCATCTATGTGATTTTTTCAAACTTCTGGGGCAAACCATTCTGAAACTGCCACTGAAGTTTGGTTTTGGTTCAATCTTTAGACTTTATGATGCCCCTAATCTTGGAGAGGTCATTTTGTCTCATTAAGTATGTTCTGTTTGCTTGTTTGAACAGACAGTCAAGACAAAATTTTCATCTCATGGTTAGGAATTAAGTGTATGTGATGTGATGTATTTCCTGTACATGCATATAAGCAAATTCACCTGGCACAGATCTTATATTTCAAAAAAGAATAAATGCAGTGAGTACCTGTAGTGTGGCTTTATAAAGTAAGAAGAAAAGTCAGAGACCTTTGTAATAAGATGTTCCTGTACTTTTTAACAAGCTTAGTAAACCTCATCTAAGGTCTCAAATTCAAAAGTATCACTACTTTGATCTAAAATAAGAAATAAGTTATATAACTTCTGGTAGTATGGTGAGTATAAAAATGCAGAAGTCACTTTAAGGATGCCATTCTATCAGAGACTGTCCTAGGGTAAGCTATCAGGAACTAGTGCAAATAACAAATTCACAAAAATGGTTAGTTTATTTGTCTGTATTTTGTTGGTATGATTAAGTGGAATCAAAGGGTCAAGGTCAGTGTTTGATTCATATTTGAGAACTGGCTGTGCACACAGAGGATGCTTTCATGCATTGGAACATTGCCCAAACACCAGCTGAGCCAGATGCTTGCCAGTCATGATCTGAAGCTTACTGCTCTGAGGCAGTCTGCAGTTTTCTTTGAGGAAACAGATTTTTAAGAGCACAAAACACCTCAACAGAGAAAATTGTTCCATAAAGACGGTAACCATCAGGCATAGTTCTGTTTACCAGAACATTACTGTGTATGCTCTAAGTCTGGACTGCCTACTTGTTGTTGCTGAATCATGTAAGGATTTGTTAAAGACAAAAAAATTAACAAAAACAAAACAACTATGAAGGAGATGTAGACATGGGGCTATAGGATCTGATGTAGACTCAAATCAGTCCTTAATTTTGGTAACTTCTTCAGGGGCACAGCTGATGCTGGAAAACTTTGAGAACTGAGATAATTCCTAACAATCTGCCTCAGGATGACACCTGTGTACAGTTACAGCCCTACTATGTGTAAGATTAATGTGCAGTAGTATGCACATTACATAGTGGTATATTTTGCTGTAGTAGCTCTTCTATAAGTTAAAGTGCATAAAGTTTTAAAAATACAAGTCATACCCGTTTTAGTGTCAGAATGTTCCATTTTGAAATTCAGATAAAAATGTCAAGGGATGTTTCTCAGACAGATATGGGGTTGATAAATTATGCAGCATTAAATAGCTCAGCCCAAGAGCTTAAAGTGTGTTTGGGTTCTTTTTTTTTTTTTTTCTTACACAAGTAAAGTTTCCATTCTTCTAACTTTGCTTTTTTTCTTTGCTCCTCCTGTCTAGCTTTTAATAACCCACGAGCAGGGCAACTGGGCAGGTTATTACCAAACCAGAATTTACCACTTGAGATCACACTGCAGAACCCAACAGGTGCGGGAACTTTCCCACCCATAAGAACGAGTAGCCCCTATTCAGTGATACCTCAGCCAGCACTGATGGGCAGGAATGAAGGGATGATAGGAAGTCAAGGAACTATAGGCAACAGCAACACAGGTAAGAAATATATATTGTTAGACTATATCATGTGTAACTTTATGCTGGGATTATTAAAAGTACAGTTTATTATGAGTACTGTCCATAAAAGTCTGGGGAAAATTGTGTTTCATGGGCTGTTATGTATGGACATATTTATTTGGACTTTTGTTTCTGCATGTTTTCAGTCTGGCGCTTTATGCGCTGCTTTTCACCTACCTGAAAACTTCTAGATCAAGAAAGTTAGTTAGTTTGTTCACATTAATGTTCCAGATTCAGCTGAAGCTTAGGTAAAAATCCAATCTTTCTGCTTCTAAAAAAAGCAAATAAACAAACTGCTTCTCTGCAGAAGTACTTCATTCAAAACAAAATTTGGGCAGTACTGTTGCCATTATGACGTGTATCTCTGCAGACGCTGGGTTTGTCCTCGATTATCCTTTATTTATTAGCCTTACTTCTTAATTTAAATTAAATAAATGCTAATGTTTTCATCATTTTCTGAAACATAAGCTTTTTGGTGACCATTGGATTTTGCAATGGTACTACCTTTTGTCATGGATTATGCCTGATCTGTGGTGTATTGATTTCTTCATGTTGCCCCAATATTTTACAAAGATACCAGAGAGGGTTTCACAAGAAAAGTCCGGCTGATTGACTTATTTCCACTAATATGTAGTCTGAGACTGTCCAATTTGTGCAACAACTGCCGAGAACTCTGAATAAATACATGGGTATTATAAGTCCTTTCAACTGGCTATATTCACTGTCAAAATTTTTTATTCATTTTGCATCAGTATTAAGAAAGACATGCTGCCAGACACTGAAATATCCTATTTAAGCAGTTCAGAGGTCAGTTTGTAGTCTTTCAAGTGTCCTATTATTTTCATGTTCTGTATACATATTAGAGGATGTTACTCATCTTATGTATACAAGTTAGAGAGTATTATCTGTGTTCTGCCATTTACTCTAGCACACCACATATTTCAGCTGATAGAATGTGTACACAAATACAACAAACCTGAGGATGTAACACTGAAGCAAATTTTGTGCAGCAGCTGGAACAATGACCCTCTTCAGAGGGTTTTTCTCTTCAGTTGGTTATCACCAAATAATTGAACTGATGAGTAACAATTATTTGTGTGGATTTTTGTATTCTTTTAAGGATACTGCGAAATGCAACTGGAGAGACCAGTAGTCCAGTCTGGACCAGTGGTTTTATCTGCTTTCTTGACTATATAAAATTGAAATGTATAAACACTAAGAGTGCACAACTTTGGGTTTGGGGGGTTTTTCTGTAGGGGTTTGTTAGGGCTTTTTTTGGCTACTGTCAGAGTGTAGTACTCTGTATATTCCAAGCGTAAATAAACTGTATCAGCTGTTTACAGTAGATGTAGAAGGACTTCCCCTAAAATAACGGTAATGAACTTCAGCATGTATCGGAAAGTTCCTGTGAGTAATTTCCCTGCACCATATATTGGTTTGAAATAATCTGGGTGAGTTCTGAAGCTAAGAAGGCTTTAGGTTCTGAGTGAGCAGACTCACCAGAAGATGTTTGCAGAATGCAAATTTTAATTCAATCCTTGTAATTTGTAAGCATGTACAGCAATAACATGTTGTTACTTAAGTCTTCATTCTCACTTAGCACTTGGAAAGTAAAGCACTGACACACACATCAGCAAACGTGATTCATTTCCTGAGGAAGGAAGTCAGGACTATCCACACACCATCAGCACCTGTTGCAGACTACATGTGGGAACACTTACTCTGAACAGCATTTCGGAAATGATAAAAGGATCTTCCTCATGTAAAATGTATAATAATCTGCAGTCCCTTGACTAAGCAGCATAAGGCATCATTCTGTAGCTTTGCACATCTGGAGGGGCAGTTGTGATACAATATGCTTTGAGTGAAACTACAGCATTTTTGTTGCTAGAAATGTAGCTCATCAGGCAGTTGTAATCTAAAGCCATTCTGAATCGTGTGCCAGCACCTAAGTCTGTTTGGGTTTTGTGCAGGAATGATTGGTAGCAATGCCCCTCGGCCTGCCATGACATCTGGAGACTGGGGAAGCCAGGCACCTGCTGTGAGGGTGACCTGTGCGCCCACAGCTAGTGCCATGAACAGGCCGGTGCAAGCAGGCATGATCCGCAACCCCACGGCCAGCATCCCCTTGAGACCCAGCAACCAGCCTGGCCCGAGGCAGATGCTTCCATCTCAGGTCATGAATATGGGTAAGTCAGGGCATGTGGAGTTGTTCTTTTTGGCATATGCTGTATTGTCAAAGATTAAGCAGAAACAAAAACAAACAAACAAACAAAAAATCATATGAGAACCATATTTCACAGTGAAAATTCGAAGCAGGAAGGAAGATGTGTGAAACTCTTAACTTTGAACACATATGAACAATTCCTACTACTCTGTTGCTTCACAGTGTTATGGCTGAAGAAAGAGGATATGAAGTTGCTCTTGTTTATTAAAGACTGACATTCTTTATTGAGAGGAGGTGCTGGGAACATTATCAATGTTCTTGGTTGCTTTTAAAGCAAGTACATTATTATATTGACTCTATATGCTGTCTTTTTTTTTTAATGCTTGTCGTATTAGGTTTTTTGCATCTGCAGTGTCTTATCTGCTGTTTTGAGCCACTTTTGAGTTCTTATGCTTTTTCTCAAATTGTAAAAGCAATTTCTAGCAAAAAAGTCCTGATAGTTTGAAGCGTAATGTTACTACTGTCAATGTGTTTTTTTGCTTTTCCTGTAATGTAGACAATTTAATGGAAAGAATTAACATGAAAGTGAATTCTTTTCACAAAAGTTATGTGATTATTTTTCCTTGATTAGGGCCATCTGAATTGGAGATGAACATAGGAGGACCTCAGTATAGCCAACAGCAGGCACCTCCAAATCAGACTGCACCATGGCCAGACAGCATCTTGCCTATAGATCAGGCAACTTTTGGGAGCCAGAACAGGTGAGTTTTTCTGTCACACCAAAACATGCAGAGATTTTACAGGCTTCTATTTCATACTTGTCATGAAAACAAAGCTCTGTGTAAAATATTCACCAAATGTATATCAGTTTAATACTCGTCATATTGTCTGCTCATGTATGCATGTTCCAGTAATAGTTAAAGTGCTCTCTTTGCCATTTGGAAGTTGGAAGTTCTATATTACAGTGAATGCTGCCAGTGCTTTGGGTGGTTGCACCATTTTCATTAATGTGGCCATGATTCTGTCTGGTTTTGGTGGCTTTATTGTTAACAATTATTTATTAGACTGCAAGTGGAAAAATGCCAGAGCCTTTGTAGGTATAACACAGCTGTCTTTTCCTGCTGTGGGGTAGCATCTTAAGAAAGTGTAAGACATGGTTAACTCCTGTTTTGTTTGGGGTTTTTTAATTGACCTAAATTCTGTAAAAGGTGAGGAAGGAGCAACGAAGTGAAATGGAGGCTGTCTCTTCCCTGAAGTTAGCTCCTTCTCGGGGATCCAGAACCACAGTTTGATCATAGAATCATAGCGGTTGGAAGGGACCTCTGAAGATCAAGTCCAACCCCCTGCTGCAGCAGGAACACTTAGGGCAGATCACACAAGAGCACATGCAGATGGGTCTTGAAAGTCTGCAGGGAAGGAGACTCCACAACCTCTCTAGGCAGCCTGTTCCTGTGCTCTGTCACCCAAGTTATTAACTCATATGTAATATATTAACTTAAGACTTTTAAATAATGGCATAACTATGAACAGCAATTTAGACTTCTTAAAAAAGATATGTCTTCTCAAAAAAGTTTTCCACTTAAATTAGAGAAACCCTGTATGTATGTACTAAGTGTTACCAAATGAGCAGATAAATGAGAAATATTTAAATACTTTGAACTGAACAAGCTGAGATATTTTTCAGTAGTAAATAGGAGGAGTGCTGAAAAGAAAAATTCAGAGGAAGCAGTTGGAAAAATGTGTTTGAAGAAAGGTTAAACCATAAATTATCTTAATTTTCATTATGAAAGGTTGTCTAAAAATATTATCTGTAATTGAAGTGTGGCGTTTTCTCTGTTACTTTTCTAACTTTTTTGCTTCTCAGGGTGTTTTCTGGTGCTAATTTTTTCCCAGTTACAGTGTCCATATGCCAAAAGCACTGTATAACTTAATTACTCACTTAAAAAATGAGACCATAAAATACAGGATGATGTTTGGTCAGCCATACAGTCAGATAATTTTTCCATTTTGTTACCTTTGCATTTTTCATAATTTTCTTATAGCCGAAGGTGATGACAAAAATTCCCATTACATTGCACCTGAAAGTGGTTGTATTTTGATCATTTACACCCAAACAGAGATGACTAATGGTTCAGTGCTGCCATTTCTTATTTTATTAATCCCTGGGATTTATCATTTTACAATCTGATTATCATTGTGAGTATTAAATTTGATTAAAGTTAAGTAGTGAGTAAAAATAATTCTTTTAGAGAAAAGCTGAACATTATCGTTTTGGTATATAAAAGAAATGGGGGGGAAGCCAAAGTAATTGTCATTGCTTAAGATACAGAATTTGACAAATGTTTTAAACTTGTTCTTACCATATATATTCATGCCCATTTACAATTTGAGGGAGGTTTTCTGGCTAGCCCCATTGATTATTTTTCCAGATCATCAGTCCCTTCTTATAAGCCATCTTTAAAGTTAGCATGCAGACTGATTAAAAGGATTTTTGCTCTTCTCTTTTACTTATTTATAATTCCATCTGTGAGTGTTATAGAAACTTCTCTATAGATGAGATTGATTGATACTTTGCAGTGTTTTAAAGGTACACCTTACATAGCCTTTTTTTTTTTTTACAGTCCAGGATGTAATTAAAAAGAATAGATTTTTGTTAGTTTTCCTGCTTGCCATCCTTTGCGTTTTTAGGCATATAGTCTGACGATGCAGCTCTTTCCTTCTGCCAAGCTTTGACATAGAGATTAGACTTCCATGGCAACCATATATCTCATTATGGATACTACATACACAAACATGTTTCTTTGTTTTTCCAAACAGACATGTATAAAGGGTTCACATATAGTGCTGTTTCCTCCCTTCATGTGTGACAGCTTTTGTTGTCTCTGAGTAATTATCTGGGCTGAGATTCTGCCATGATGTGCATATAGTAGGTGCCTTTTCTTGCAGAATGCTTTGCCTTTTATATATTATATTCTAGTCTTTTTGCATTGTGCATGGAGTGGGGCTGACATATGAACTGCAAGACAACAATATGTCATTTGGCTGCACATAAGGTGTTACTTCAGATTTAGTTTGTTTCTCAGTAAGTTTTTGTTCTTTAGGTTTGGAATAAACCTTTATTCTGCCTTTGTAACAGTAAGTGTGCATTGCATACAAATTCAGGGGTGAGTGAAGCAGGATTTATAGAGCCAGCACACCCTGCCTGACAGTATCTAAATTCTTGCTGACACCCTTCTGAGACAAATAACCAAGTGCATAAACTGGAACTCAAGTGTGCAGTTCCGTAAGCTGGGCTGAGCTGATGCAGTGTTTTGCTGCAGACAAAAAGGGGAATGTCCTTTTCTCCCCACTCCCTCCTTCTTCTGGCCAGCTCTTCCAGATGTTCTGTTTGTGTGAACTCAGACAATCCTCAGACCCCTCTGTGACCTCTTCAATTTGCTTAGTCTGGTAGAAAACCAGTTAAGAGTGTCTGTGGAAATGAGTTGTTCTTCTACTTATTGTAGCACACGTAATCTAATGTCTACAATTCAAAGTTACAGTTAGGTTTTTTTAAATGATTTAACCTTCTCTGTTCAGTGACTGTATTCTGTACTGACTTCTCTGTTCGTCTATTGACCCTGTAATATGAAATCAACCGTCAGGTGTACTTTGGTGTGCTTGCTTACGTGCCGGATACACCGTGCTTGTAGGGTCTGGACAGCATTAGCCACACTATTTAGTTATTTCTTTGGGTAGCATAACTTTCATCCAGAGCAGTTTTCTAAACAAATTTGGCAGTGATTAAAGTAATTTCTGTCTCCACTTGTTAGTTCAATTTGAGTACTAATCCTCTGATATTATTTCTTGCTTTTTAGGAGCTGTTTACCAACTCTGCATTCATGTTTTCACAGGCAACCGTTTGGCAGCTCACCAGATGATCTCTTGTGTAATCATCCTTCATCAGAGTCACCAAGTGATGAGGGTGCTCTCCTGGATCAGCTTTACATGGCATTAAGGAATTTTGATGGTTTAGAAGAAATCGACAGGGCTCTAGGAATACCAGAACTAGTTAGCCAGGTATACTGGACATTGCATTGCATGTTTTAGATACTGCATTTAAAGGATTTGTTGTCAAGGTGGAGATCAATGTGTACAGAAGAAAGGGATTATAAAACATTCCTGGCAAGTTAGGATGGAGTTACATATATTGTGGTGGGAGTCCATCTAACAGCTCAGCATCACCTGGAAAGCTCTCTTCAGCCCCAGGTTTAGTCTTCTTTCCTCTTCCCTGCCACTCTCACCTAGCTCTTCTGACCTGTGCTGAGGCACTTCGCTTTTACGCAACTAATCTGACCTAAACAAAAAGCCAACAGGCTTCTGCTTATCTGGTGGTCAGAACAACAACTGTATGGGAGAAAGGTAAGATCACAGCCAGCAACAGTGAATAGAAAAGAATAAGAAACAAATACGAAGACTTAAGAGCAGGTCCAGCAACAAGCTTTTGGATGAGCAAACCTGTAATGTGTAATTTTACACATAGTTTTTCCCTTAGTTGATGGATGTCTGTTAAGGGACAAGTTTCACCTGAAGCAGCTGATTTCATCCCAAGCACTTAAAACTTTTACTTTTTTAAATTATGAACATGCTACCTTAACTTTGCAGCATCAATTTCTCTTTTTTCTTTTTTTTTTCCTCCGCAGTTTTTTTTGTTAGCTTCCAGTTGGTTCTTGTCCATTTCAGTCTTGTATGATGAAGAAAAGCATGATAAAAAAAAATAAGAATTTGGGAGAAAAAGTTAGTCCTTGATGTTTCTGGCATCAAAATTGTATTTCCAAAAACAGTGGTACATGTCTCTATAATGATTTTGTGTTCTCAGACAAGCCTAGAATAGCTGTTTCATTTCCCAGCACTCATCAGCATCCTGAGCATGACTTCTGAACTAGCTCTGCCTTTTATATATGAAATAGGACAAATGAAATCTGGCTTTGAGAAAACTATCTCCAAGCCTATTTGGTACAACACAGAATTCAATGAGATGTTAAGCTGGAGATGTTATTTATTGGTGAACTGCAATTTTGCAGTGTGAAATTTTCATGCAATATGACAGCTTTTGGAATACCACCACCAGAAAATATGAATAATGTTTTATTTCAGACTAACTGGTAAATATCTATGTATTTAATTAATATGTCAGTGGAAACAGAATTTTGCAGATAAGAGGACTGCTGCATTTTAAAACGTTTTTAAAATATCCATCAAACATTTTATAGGAGCTTAAAGTGTTTCTTTCATGACAGCACTGAAATTTAGATTTAACTTGGTTTCCAAGGTCAGTGTGGAATAAGCTATAAAATTATTCTGGGTAGAGCAAATATTAGGGGAGTATCTAGAATGGAGTTTAGAATTGTTAGCTTTTTATGCTGATGGATTTCATTTTCACTTTCACTTTGTGTGAAAGTGTCCTGAAAGATTTAGGCACTCTGTTCACATTAGCTTCTGTAATAGTTTCAGGCATCTTTATTTGAAATCATTATTTCATTTAAAGATACTGATAAGAATCTACTTTCTTATCCTTATTCATTTGTAACATCTTTGAATTTACCTTGGATTCAATGGCAAAAATAAGCTGGTGTCACTTCATGTATGGATTTTCATATGGCATTTGTCATTTCAGGATTTTATTCATTTGCTGACTGATACAACGGCTGTGTTAAGGACATGACAAAAATTGTCAGTCTTTTTTAAAAAAGAGAAAGAGGAGGGATTTGTCCCCATTAATACCTTTTGCCACTCCGAAACACAGTTCTGTTTATTTTTACGTTTTACAATTAGGTGAAGAAAACTTACGTAATTTTCCATTTAAAAACATACACAGCCTAGGAGGTCTGTTTGGTGGGGTGGCCGTGTCGGTCTCACACAGCCCTGCAAAGACCCACGTCCCACCACTTCTTTCTGTTCCACGTATTTCTGCAGAGCCAAGCTGTCGACCCAGAGACCTTCCCCAGCCAGGATTCCGGCATCCTGATGGAGCAGAAGGCCCCGGTGTTCTCCCAGCAGTACGCGGCGCAGGCTCAGATGGCGCAGGGCAGCTATGCGCCCATGCAGGACCCCAGCTTCCACCCCATGGGGCAGCGCCCCGGCTACGCGGCCCTGCGCATGCAGCCGCGGCCCGGCCTCCGGCCCGCCGGCCT